GAGTCTGCACTGAATTTGCTTGCAAGCAAACCTTCAGTCCTAAGGGAAGCAGAGCTGGAGATCTAAAGACTAGCTAGAAAGTAAGAAATCCAACCATTTCCTGCTTCCTAGCTAATCTAAATCTCCCAGCACAGCAGAACAGATGATGGTCGGAAAAAGGAAAAATAGCAATTTTAGCAGGCAAGTTTGCCGGGTAAGGAGTGAGTGGGCGGGGAGCATTCCTGCGGGCCATGTGGACAGCGCAGCCTTGTGTTTCTGCACAGCCTGGATTAATTGCTTTGGGAGGATGCTCTGGGGTTGAGATTTCTCTGCGGGCCACCAGTTTTCTCGAGGTCCACCAGTGGGCCGCGGCCCACTGGTTGGCGACCACTGCTTTAGCAGATGCTTCCTGGGTACCCCATATAGATGTACCCCATATAGATATATAGCCCCACGACTGCAAAGACTATTCCACTGGCAACATCCTACCAAGGCGGGTGGGAGGGACAAAAGTCGATGGGTAGGGCCTATTAATTCTGTCCCTTGCTTTTTAGGAGGAGCCATGGTAGAGGGGGCCGCATGTCAGGCTCAGAAATCTGGCCAGCTTACAGACGTGAGTCTGGAGTCTGACACATTCTGGCATTCCTCCCCAACTTAGCTGTGCAGCGGCAATGTGATGCCAACATTTCTCCCCAAATCAGCTGTGAAGCGGCAATGCCGACAACGTCCGCACTGGCAGCGTATGGGAGGGCATGACAGAGGTTCTGGAGTTGCGGGCAGATCACTCAGCTGTTGCGCAAGGACGCCGTGGCTGAATGGATTGATTTTCGCTTTTTATTTCGTTCCTGATCCGGATAATGCATTGGAAAGGGGGGGGGGGTTACCTGATAAGAAGAGAATGGTCTAAACGAGTTAGGGGGAATGAGGGTTAGGAGGCAATAGTCATAATTAATTAGGCATGGGGAGGGGGAGCGGGCTATTAGTTAATGAGCGGATGTTAGGCTAGTTGGGATGGGTGGAGAACGGATATAAACAGTGCTGAGAGGCAGTTGCTCTCAACGCTGACTAAGCATGGAGTTCTGTTGTTGTTGCTGATCGTGATTGGAAGAACTGAAATAAACCTAAACATCACATATCTTTATTTGTGACTAACGTGGTTTGTTGTGGAAAGTATCCAGTACTCGACAGAAGCCAACAGACAGTTGGCTTCCAGTGCCAGAGAAGGCAGGGAAGGAAGTGGCTGGGCTGCCGCTGCCTTTCATTGGGGCGTGTGGAGTGAGACGAGACTCCTCTTGCCATCTCTTCTCTCCCCATCGCCAGGCATGGTAGGGCTTCCTGCCCCTCACTTCAGCCAGTTCACCAAGCTCCACAAAAATTTAGCTACCAGTTCTACTGAACCAGTGTGAACTGGCTGAATCTCACCACTGGGCTAACCTATATAGAATATATGCAGTTGTGATATCATCTGTTGCTTTAGCAATGTAGGAAAAGCAGTTATTGTCCATTTCTCAAAAGCAAATGCCACCACAACACACAAAAAGTGCTTCTTTAAGCATACTGGCAGATGGTAGCCAAATGATACTGCTTAGATTAAATTAAACTTTATTGTCATTGCCATGGATACAGGCAACGAAATGCAGTTAGCATCCAACCAGAAGTGCAAAACAACAGTAAAATATAAATATATGTATGCAAATATGCAAGGCATTTATGAATATGTCAATGGAAAACACAACAAAATGTATGTACATGAGCACACAAGGATAAGTGTGACTGCACATATATGAACATATACAACTGTACAAAATGTTTATAGACACATTGAATATAAGTACAAATGCACAAAGAATTATACAAAATACATCAAATATTATCAAGGGATAATTTACATTGTCAGGCCAATATAAAATCTCTCACATTCCAACAGTACTAGCCCATAATGGTCCTTATGTATTTTATTGGTAGATTGCATCAGTGGTGGGATTCAAATTTTTTACTACTGGTTTTGTGGGAGTGGCTTACTTGGTGGGTGTGGCTCTGCAGTCATGTGACTGGGTGGGCGTGGTTTGGCAGTCATGTGTCTAGGCGGTCGTGGCTTGATGGTCATGTGACTGGGTCAGTGTGACTTGGGGATCATGACTGGGTGTCACTCACATCCATGCCCCTTGCGTCCCAGCCATTCCTTGTCACATCCAGCCCCATTCTGTAAAAATGTTGTTCATGTTTTTTTGACTTTATGATCTACATACTACAGATGTACTTTCATGGACCACTGAAAGGAGGAAATGGCTCACGTGCTTTGCCCAAGAGTGTGATAGGCAACACGCTTTTAAGGGGTTGCCAGAAAGTGGGGGGGCAATGTATTTTCCAAAGCACCAGAAGGCAAACAAGAAGCAATGGATGGAAACTGAACAAAGAAGAAACCTAAAACTAAGGAGAAACTTCCTGACAGTGAGAACAATTAACCAGTGGAACTGCTTGTCTCCAGAAGTTCTGGGTGCTCAATCACTGGAAGTTTTTAAGAAAAGACTGGACAGCCATTTCTCTGAAATGGTATAGGGCAGGGGTCCCCAACCGCCGGTCCGCGGACCGGTACCGGGCCGCGGAACAAGCCTTACCGGGCCGCTGGTTGCTGGGCGCCGCCATCTTTTTTTGGTAAAAAAAGCAATTTTTCGTCAAAAAAGATGGCGGCGCCAGCGCTTCCGGTGAGCTTTTCCGGAAGTGATTTTTCGTCAAAAAAAGATGGCGGCGCCCAGCTGACGCCGGAACCGGGCCGCGGCGCCCAGCTGACGCCGGAACCGGGCCGCGGCGTCGAAAAGGTTGGGGATCCCTGGTATAGGGTTCACCCCAAGGTCCCTTCTAAGTGTTATTCTGTTATTGTGACATCTTTCCTGGGACCTCTACTCAGATTTTGGCATCCTCAGACTCTTAGCTATTTAGCTGAGGAATAACAGATTTGAAAGGGACTTTGGAGGTCTTAGGCAGGAAAACTGAGGATGCCAAAAGTAGAGGTCCTGGGAAAGGTGTCAGAATAACAGAATAATACTTAGAAGGGACCTTGAGGGAACCCTATACTATTTCAGTATTTCAACTGCAGGTTTCTAAAAATCTGAAATTAATATCCTAATAAGATTTTTAGAAACCTGCAGTTGAAATCTCCTTATCCCGAAGACCCAATTTCATTTGGAATTTAATCCCAAACTGATTGCCCTCTTAGCATTTCTCTTGACACTTCTCCAAAATGCACTCCCACGAAGCCACATCTCTTCTCTCTCCTCTCTCTCTCTCTCTCTCTCTCTCTCTCTCTCTCTCTCT